TAATAAAAGTGATCAGTTTTTAGTTCCAAGTTGAACTATTTCTTTTTATTAATACTGCTCGTCTTGAGTTCCGAGCCCAGTTATCAACTATTCAATCTCAGTTATTAATTCCGGTCCATTTATTTTTTTAGCAATAGATTTTATTTAGTCGGAATTAATTATTTCAGTTGACGAATAATCGGAACCGAGTATGTTTCGATATATCGTCCAAGTCAAGCCGTGTCCGGAATCGAGTCGTTCGGTCACGAGTATCGCGCCTAGTCGAGTATCGAGCCCTAGCCGTGCTCAAAATCTTACTTAGAATATTTTCTAAGTATGAGATCATTTTTATCGAGCCTTCGATATCATTCCCTCGGCCTAAGTAACCCTGCACCGAGCTCATGCACGGGTCCAAGTCCTCGCGCCCAATTGTCGCGTGTCTCGTGCCAGCTGCGAGTGTCCAAGTCATGGCCAAGTGTTTTGAGAATTTTTTCTAAGTGTTTTGAACACTTAAATCCAGCCATAGACAAGAGTTAGCCTCGGCCCAAGGGAATACCGAGCCCAAGCCAAAGCCGCGCCCTAGTCCGTGCGCCATTCAAGTGTCGAGCCAAGTACATGAAATTCTTGGAAATTATTCTAAGTATTTTGGGCCTCAAGTCAGCCACTATCCAGCCCTAAGTGTGTATAGCATAATGTTCAGCCCGTGCGCACAAGAGCCGCGCCCAGCAGGCCGTGCGCAAGGCCCCAGCGCCAAGCCCATTGCGAGTGGCTCCCTAGCCCAATGCATGGGAATTCCGAGCCCAATCCTTTGGCCCATGCCCATGCGAGTAATCTGGAGTAAGAGGGATTAATTGAACCTAATAATGCCCTAAGTTGGATTAAGAAAGTCCAAGATTCCTTAGCAATATTTTAAGGCAAAGTGGAGTATGGGCATGTGATTAAAATAATACATGTGTGTAAGCACTTGTCCCCCAGTTCATGGGAGCTCGACCAGACCACTTCCCCATCATATTGTACTCTGCAAGATGCTCCTAAAACGTGGTGAAGTCAGGCCAACAAGTCCAAGATTCTCCCCATATCCTATGCGCATGGGAAAGGCTTATATCCCCGACCTTCTCCACCTTGTTAGCTCCGCCCATGAGCTCTTTTAAAAGGGACTCTCCTCAGCTCATTTCCAGCTCTTGGTCACTTGAGAACTTCAGCACTTAAGCATTTTGAGAGCCAAAAACTGAGAGCAAGAACCCTTAGACATTCTCGCGCGCGCGTGGAGTTCGAGCAAAGGAGGAACCGAGCCTTACACTTCTCCAGCCATTCCACTCGTGGTCTATCATAACCTGAGTGTTTGGTGGATTTTTGTAAGCCCTTGGAAGCCCTTAATCATAGCCTTAAGCCACCAAGTCGAGTCCTAACACCCATTGGCCGCGAGCTAGCCGAGCAAGGCCATCCTTAGCACCATTCCGAGTTTGAGCAAGGTAAGCTCCTACCTATCATTTTTCCCAACTTATACATGATAAATTAGAAATTATCATGTTGAGAAATGATGCCATGCACGTGCTAAATGTTGAGTTCCGAATTTTCTAAGTTCCAAGCCCTAATTTCGGAAATTCTTATGCATGCATGAGATGGTCGATTTTCATAGCATAAAAATCCTCAAAAATCATGTGTATAACATTGGTAAAAGAATAGCATGCTTTGAGTTCATATGTTCGATCAAGTTGGTTAGTAAATTTGAGCTATTTTTACCCCCGAACCAAGTCTATGTGCATGCAAGTATTTAGCCAATGTCCTAGCCTCAATAGCAATGATTTTTTATGTAAATCATTCGGCCATAAGTGAAATTATATGCTGAGAATGTTCATTTCGGTGACCTAGGGCTCATGGGTGCCTTATCGGCCCTATAGGCCTATCTCCAAATCCAACCGAGTTGCCCTAGCATTTCTTGGTATATTTACATGTTTTATATCATGTCGTGTTCGTTTGAGTCAGTTGTCACCGAAAAAGTTGTCGGAAGTCCGGCGAGGACCGTTCATGGGTCACCAGCCGCGCCAGTCGCGCGTGTCGTGCCCGTGCCGCGTCGTAGAGACCAGGAAGTGCTTCTGTTCGTGCCTGCGTCTAGCGCACGCGAGGTACCACAGCCCTCAGCGCCGCGACAGCGCCCCAGCAGCGCCTGTCCGTGCCAGTGAGCAAGGTCTTGGTGCCAGTCGTGCCCAAGCACCTCCGACAGTGCTCGGCCGTGCTGTCCAACGTCAGTGCATGCGTGGCTTCGAGCCAGTCGCTCGTGCTGCGCGGTATAAGCCTTGGGCTGTCCCAGCCGCATGCCCTAGCACCCAGTGCCGTGCCCAATGAACCCTAGTCGTGTTCTTTAGGTCCAGTTGGCCCTGGGACGTGCCCCAGTCGCGCCAAAGTCGCGTGAGTAATGCCTAGCTGCGCCAGTTCTCGCACCAGCCGCACTAGGGCCGTGACCAGTCGCACGTCCCAGTGCCCAGTCGCACTCCCAGCGCCCAGTTGACCTCAGCTGTGCTCAGTAGCACCCGAGTGGCACCGCTCGTGCCCGTGCTCGCGCCAGCAGCGCACTAGAGCACCCAGTCACCCTTAGTCGTGCCCAGCAGCACCTAGTGGCACCAGTTGTGCCAGGGCTTGTGCCCGCGCCCAGTAGCGCCTAGTACCGAGGCCCAGTTGCACCCAACTCGTGCCTAGTGCCCTGCCAGGGCCCCAGCCGGCCCAGCGCGGGACCGAGCCCGGCCAGTCCAAGCAGCCCGTGACCACCCGGTCCAGTCCAGCCCGACCCGGTCCGAGTCAGTTTTGGTTCGAGTATTTCGGTCCGAGTTTTATTCGAAATTTTAGCATTTTTCTGAGGCAAACCAGATCAGTTGAGCATGTCAGTCTAATTTTCCGAACTTAGAATCATTATAGCGAATCCTTAGAGCGTTCCCTTATATCCGGATGAGTAATCTGATAGAGTAGAGCATCTTAGCATATTATTGAGCATACGACGAGCATAGTACTTAGTATATTTGTTTGCTTATATTTTTATGTAGCTTGATGAGTCAGCTACCAGCACAGCCGCACTTACATATTTTCAAAGCAGATCAAGTGGGGACCCAGTCTAGGTTATAGATTGAGTATAATAGTCGATATCACGTTAAGGTATATATATGAGTTTTATCCGCTTAGGGTTAAGGCCAAGTTTGCCTTCCCTAAGTTCTGGTGGTGGCCCAGTTCGCCATAATTATACCATCAGAGTGTGCACACGGTTACCGGCCAGAGAGTCCGGGAGTTACCGGCCAGAGTGTTCCGGGAGTTACCGGCCATAGTGTTCCGGGAGATTTCAATTTACTTGTATATACCAGTTCTGTGATATCATTATTATTATTTTTGTTTACTTTAGAATGGGTTTTTATGGAGTACAAGTGGATCGTACTCACCCCCACTTTATATTTTCAGATGGCAGGGTCGGCGGGCATGCGTGAGTCCAGCTATGGTGGTTGTGGTCGTGGATTCGGGACAGCAAGCCGTTCCAGGGACATTTGTTATCATGTTTTGTATAACTAATATTACCACGTGTTTTCAGACTTCCGCTATGTGTGTTTTATTTCGAGCTTGCATGACAGTATTTCAGACTTAAACGTTTTTACCCAGTTCGCCAGCACGAACGAGTCTAATTTCACATGCTTGATTCGATAAAACATTAATCTGATTTTCTTTAAGTCTAAACCAGTAGATAGACCAGTTAAAGAAAACGGATTTTTAAAGCAGATAAGTTTTTAGCAGCATCCCGAGATAGTTTGCAAATGATTTCGAAAAATTTATAAGCGTTTTCGAAAGTTAGAATTTGCGAAAAATTGGTCCTAAGTAGCGAGGTGTTGCAGCCAACCTCCACAATTGTTTGCATATAAGAGCTTCATTGAACAGTTTTGTGTCAAGAAAACCAAGACGACCATTCAGTTTAGGTAAAGCCAAAAGATTCCAACTCTTCCAATGAATGCCTTTCCCATTGTTCTCCCCATTTTGCCACCAAAAATCAGCACACAGTTTTGAAATGTCTTTGCTTATAGAAATGGGGAGTTTATAGCAAGACATAGTAAAAATAGGGAGTGCTTGAATGACATATTTGAGAAGAGTTTCCTTACCAGCAGGTGACAGAAACTTTGATTTTCAATTTTGAAGTTTATTTCTGATGGAGGTGAGAATGTACTCAAAGGGAAAGGCATTTTGAAGTTTCCTTACCAGCAGGTGACAGTTTTGAAGTTTATTTCTGATAGAGGCCCAATGCTTAAGGAGCTCAAATCATCACTTCCTTAGGATCCATACTGTAGTTCTATAAATACATCATTAAGCTCATGGGATTGAGGAGAGAAGATAGAGACCTAACGGGCAATACGTTCGGCCGTCCCTTTTCTCCCTCTTGTTCCCATAGTCAAGCTTTGTTTATATTTTGTTGTTCTACCGGTACCAAATAATGAGGTGATGAGTCATACAACAGAAGATTCCGAGGTACCGAGACCCCGAGATATCAATCGCCAGCCACCCTCCCGACCACTACGCCCGACTTCATCGACTACCACCGTGAGCCACAGCTGACACAGCGCAGCCCGCACGATGTCGACGACAACTGCGCGACGTCGTCCGACCTGCTGAAGCCGCGCGACGCCCTCGCGCATTCGGCGACCTTCGTCCGTGACCTGCGTGTTTTCGGCGACGCTCCCGACGAGCTTCTCGAGTCCGACAAGGAGAATCCGGCAACCCAACGGATTTTGAGTTCAGACGATCTCCTACAGAGGAAATCTACAACGACTCAGAGTCTGCAATTTTGAGGTGTAACCTTTCAACTTTAAACCTCTAAATCCATTGCGCGTAGGTTTATTGTTGCTATTGAATTCATAACTTATACATAACGAGATTCTCACTGATCCCAACACGAGTCACGTCCCACATCACCATCGGGCTTGCTGAATTGCTATCAGGCCGCTCCTAAGCTACTGGAGGTGGTCCAGACTCGCCACGGCTCGTCTGGTCCATAGACGGCTCACCTGGGGTCCACTACTGGGCTGGTGGTCGAGACTGCACGGACTGGTGCGCTAGTGGCCGAGACTGCACAGGTCTGGCACGCTGTCGCCAGGGCTGCACGAGTCTGTTGTGTTGTGGCACCGAGACTTTGTGCATGGAGAGACCTAGGTCGCCTAAGGCCTCGGGCACGGACGCTGGAACACGGGACAAGTAGCACTGGGCATGCGGGTCTCGCGAGAAGATCACTGGTCTCGCTGGCAGGTCGTGCAGGGAAACGTGGGTCGTGCTGGTAACATGCGGATCTTACTCGGGGTAGATGCGGAGTAAACCTCCCGAGCCATAATTACTCAAATACTCCAAATACTCCACAATTTAGTCTCTAAAAAATATATATGAATGGGGAATCGTATAAGGATTTGAAGAGTTTTACTTTATCTTCATTCTCGATTATGTTTTTTTTTTTCTTTTATTTCCATTTATTTGCTGGAAAATATTTATAATCACCTGATTCAACCACCTAAAATATTTATAAAAAAAATGAAAAATAATCATCTTCAACATTCATACGAAAGTAGAAAATGTCAAAACTTAATAAAACAAAAATGTCGAATAACTTACCAAGATTCGATTATTACCGANCAAGTGTTTTGAGAGTCGGAAATGACGGTCAATTTTATTGTGGAAATGGAGAGAGAGAAAATGACTAATCTTAACTGTGGAGTATTTGGAAACATTGGTAGACTGAAAGTTTTGTTTTAAAATATCGCTACCTCAGCATTATGTACACTGTTATGTAAAACTAGTGTATATCCCGTGCGATGCACGGAAGAGTTCATATTTTAAACATTTTTTAGACTTTATTTTAAATATAATTATTTGTATTTTTCACATCTCGTCTATTATGAAAATAAAATAAATACAATCAATGAAAAATATATTTATTAAATACTTTTTTTAATACAATATTTTTTATTTAAGGAATATTATTAAACCTTACGGTTTTGATTTGTTTTTTTTAAATCAATTATTCAAAATATATGATTGTTAACGTACAAAAAATAATAGAAATAATCCAGACTTTAAAGGAAATCTATTTTTTATTATTTTACAAATGAAAATCTTCCAAATTTTTTTTAATTTCAAAAAAAATTTGGTAAGTTTGATAATGAGTTAAATCAAGTTATATAAATGATTAAATAGTTAAAATATTATATTAATTATATTTTAAGAAATCCGATTATATAAAAATGGGTAAAAAAATATTATACTAATTAGTTTGTTAGGATTGTGATTATATGGAAGTTAAAATAAAATGAAATGTAACCAAAAAATTTGTTTGTGGTCTTTTCCTTTAAATGTTTGAATTTAAAAATCTAGTAACCAAATTTACATTATATCACGTAAGGAAAAAAATAAATAATAAATATTTATTAAAGAGATAAATGAATAATATTTATCACTTAGATAATAAATAATAAATATTTACATGTAAAAAAATAAATAATAATATATTTAAAAATATAAGTCAGAATTTCAAATAAAGTAAAAGGAGGGATAACTCATTTTTAAAAAAAGTTTCTAAATATTTAATATATTGATAAGTATCTCCATAAGAATAATCATACCATTTTAATTTTAAAAAAATTGGCAAGTTTGTTAGAGAGATAAATCCGGTTAGACAAATGATTAATTTGTTAAGATATTATATTAATTATATCATAAAAAATCGGTTAGATAATGTAGATAAAAAAAATATAATACTAATTAGTTTGTTAGAAATGTGATAATGAAAACCAAGATAAAATGAAATTTACCCAAAAAAATTGTTTAGAATCTTTTCCTTTAAATGTTTGAATTTACAAATTTAATACCGAAATTTTATTATATCACATAAGGAAAAAAATAAATAATAAACGTTTATTAATATATTAAAATATGTAATTTGAATTTCATATAAAGTAAAAGTTATACTTACTCAAATTTATTTTTAAAATAAAAGTTATGATAAATATTTATTGATTCTCTTTCAAATATATTCATAAAATAAAAATGTAAATCTAACAAATTTTGAAACAACCAAAAAAATCGGATTGATTGGCATAAAAAAAGGAAGTGAAATCGGATTTAAATGCTAAAATCGGAACAACCTTACCAAATTGAATGCTAAAAGATTCGATTTGATTGGTTACCTAATTGCATGGGCTGAAAAAATTCAAAAAAAATTTTACAAATTGAAGAAGCGGGAAAAACACTATATTGAAGCAGGAAAACGAAATGATTTTTTTCGGATTGTTCAAATAATTTTTCTTCTCCGTATTATATAGTAATAGATTAGTACTATATAATAGATTAGTATACTGTTATGTAAAATTGTATGTACCTCAAGCATGGTTCAATCCCGTATAATAGATCTTGTCCTTTACAAAGCATTCATGTTGCTAAATTTCATTTTCCCCTCATCATTATGATATTCGATTCCAAGTCAATTAACATTAATTTCATAAACAAAGCAAGCACAAATACATTACAACAGTATCAGATGAGAAAACGAGAAAAGGAAAACAATCAAAATTCAAATTTAAAAAAA